GCGTCGCGTTTTTTCTCGGGGGACCGTTTCTGTTTCGAGTATCTCGCTGCAAATCGACGCGTTGTCCGCTAAAAACTACGAGCTGTTTTTTAAAACCCACTGAACCGTGTAGCTTTGTTTTCAGAAGTGACCTGACTCACACAAATGATAGTTCGTTGAAGTCGCTTATCGTCATCGTCGTCGTCACGTGGAAATGTATAGCAGCCAAATACTCTAAACGAGTGGTGTTGATTCTAGATGTGGAGGGGAAAAACCGGAGAAGCGGGAGAAAAATCCACACGACCACAGAGAGAGAGAGACACGCAAACTCCAAATATACAGCAGGCGTCGTCAGGATCGGGATGGAACCCACGACCTCCTGTAGACCAGGCGAGGTAGTCAACATCTCACCACAGAGAGAGAGAGACACGCAAACTCCAAATATACAGCAGGCGTCGTCAGGATCGGGATGGAACCCACGACCTCCTGTAGACCAGGCGAGGTAGTCAACATCTCACCACAGAGAGAGAGAGACACGCAAACTCCAAATATACAGCAGGCGTCGTCAGGATCGGGATGGAACCCACGACCTCCTGTAGACCAGGCGAGGTAGTCAACATCTCACCACAGAGAGAGAGAGACACGCAAACTCCAAATATACAGCAGCAGGCATCGTCAGGGTCGGGATCGAACCCACGTGCTCCTGTAGACCAGGTGGCCCCCATTGCACTTGCGAACCAGGTTTAATCACAATTCAGTCCGTGTAAGCCATTGGCTGTATATGCAAGTCGGTGGGTCTCTACGTGAGTCTATGGGTCTATATAGAGTCTGTGGGTGTCTACCTGTGCCTCTGTGTGTCTATATGAGAGTTTATGGGTCTTTGCAGAGCTTTGTGTTTTTGTATGCGAGTCTATGGGCCTCTGTGTGAGGAGTCTATGGGTTTGTTTGTGAGACTATGGGTCTCTGTGTGAGTGTGTGGGTTTCTGTGTGAGTCTGTGGGTCTCTGTGTGAGTCTATGGGTCTCTGTGTGAGTCTGTGGGTCTCTGTGTGAGTCTGTGGGTCTCTGTGTGAGCCTTTCTCTCTCCCGCCTCTCTCTCTCTCGGTGGATTAACGACTTCGGCTCGTTAGCGGTGTCCGCAACGACTTAAGGCGTAAGTGGCCTTGCGGTGGATTTGACCGGCGGTGCTAATCCCGATTATTGGCATCTGCCAGGACAGTGACCGGCACAGACAGAGGAAGGTTCGTAGCACTGATGTGTTGTTTACACAGCTTTGGCGGTAGCAGCAGCATCAGCAGCATCATCAGCAGCAGCATCAGCAGCATCATTAGCAGCAGCATCATCAGCAGGCCTTTCTCAATCCACTGCTGGATGAGCGCCCTCCCCTACGCCAGTGATAATGCCCCGGCGCCTTGATGGAACGAATCGGCCACCCCGAAGTGCTATCACATTAATAACCATGAAAATAAAAAAACGACAATTCTTACACCGCTAAGGAACTTAGATTCAAGGGTCTCTGGGTGTGTTTCTCTCTCTCAGGGGGGTTCATAACGACCATGTCAGAGACACTGAGCGAGCACCGCTGAGCTCCTGAGTTCAAGCCTTGAGTCTGGGGGTAGAGGGGTCTGTGTGTTTGTCTGAGGGGTTCGTGATGGCCGTGTCAGATACACTGAGCCGGTACCGTTCAGGACCTAGGTTCAAGTCCTGGGGGTCTAGGGGTCTGTGTGTTTGTCTGAGGGGTTCGTGATGGCCGTGTCAGATACACTGAGCCGGTACCGTTCAGGACCTAGGTGCAAGTCCTGGGGGTCTAGGGGTCTGTGTGTTTGTCTGAGGGGTTCATGATGGCCATGTCAGATACACTGAGCCGGTACCGTTCAGGACCTAGGTTCAAGTCCTGGGGGTCTAGGGGTATGTGTGTTTGTCTGAGGGGTTCATGATGGCCATGTCAGATACACTGAGCCGGTACCGTTCAGGACCTAGGTGCAAGTCCTGGGGGTCTAGGGGTTTGTGTGTTTGTCTGAGGGGTTCGTGATGGCCGTGTCAGACACTGACCTCGCACCGCTGAGGTCCTGGGTTCAAGCCTTGAGTCTGGGGGTCTGTGTCTCTCTCTCTCAGGGGGGTCTTTGATGGCCGTGTCAGAAACACTGATCCAGCACCGTTGAGGTCCTGGGTTCAAGCTCTGGGTCTGGGGGTCTTGGAGTCTATCTGAGGGGTCCCAACCCCTGATGTGGGTGTCTCTCTCTCTCTCTCAGTCTTGTCCCCTGGTTGGCATGAGGCCACACCTTGTGCAAAGAATGAAATGGAGCCCCCCTCCCCACCTAGTGCATTACCGACCCCCCCTCTGCCCTCCGTTACTTCGTAGCCCAGAACTTAGCCCCACCCCTCCCATCCGCCTGTACACTCAACAGCCCCCCACAGGAGGAGAGAGGGGGGGGCATGCCAGGGAGGGGGTGGATGTTTACGCTTTAACGCTGATACGAACTTTGACCTCGGGCAGGAAATCCTGCCTGCCCCCCCCCCCCTCTCTCTCTCTCTGGCGCTCGCTGGTTTTAGCCGGCAGATAAGCCGTTATTTACTTATTTAACATTTACACGTGCGTACATTTATTTATTTTAGTTTGAGCAAAAAAAATTGACTCGCTTAAAAACAAGTGCGGGAGAGTCACGTGACTTTACCGAAAGAACCAAAAAGATGAATCCCTGCAGTCACGAAAGAAGCTTTCAAATCGAAATTTAAGTCCGGGAGAGTTGGGGCACGCGCGCATGGAATCGAATAGCGACGCTTCCCAACGGAGATCGGCCCTCGCGACCTTTTGACGGTGACCCCGTCGCTCGTTGATTCCTTACTCGCGCCCAGCGAAGTCCAGCATGACACACGAGGTGGGGCGGGGGGGGGGGGCGTCGGTGTGGCTGGAACATTCCACGCCCCGGCCACCACTCCCCAGCCACCTTTGTCTCCCCGCCAGCGTTGATGTTGACTCGACACCGCACCAGGTGCTCGCTTGAAGCGTAGCCGGCCTCCTTGCGTAGGAGGCCCGGGAGATTATTCAGATGTTCGTCGCCCTCATTGGCCGTGAGCGGGAATCGAACTCTGGTAGCCGGGCTCGTAGCGCAGCGCGCTAACCACTACGCCGCCACTCTCGCTACTCAAAGACGGTCTTTAACAGACTGTTGGGGCAAGTAAAAACTAAATTTGGAGCTTTCGTGACTGCAGGAATTATTCTTTGGTTCTTTCGGTAAAGTGACGTGTAAAGATAAAATAATAAATTAAATTAAATGCTAGCATACGACGTTTCGATTGCAACACGAGCAATCGTCATCAGGTATAAATGAAATAGAAACACAAATCTAGTAGACTTAGAAATGTAATGTAATACAACAGAGAGTCGGATAACTTAACAGTCAACACCCTACCTGGTTGATTACGTTCTTCCTGAGAATGCTGAGGATGCTAAATTTGAGAGAGAGATAAAACACAGAACCAGAGACATATAGACAGACATATAAGCAGACAGATATCACAGAGATACATAGAGAGAGAGTGCCTATGTTTGTCTCTATGTATCTCTGTGATATCTGTCTCTGCTTATATGTCTGTCTATATGTCTCTGGTTCTGTGTTTGATCTCTCTCTCAAATGCAGCATTCTCAGGAAGAACGTATTGTTATCCGACTCTCTCTGTTGTATTACATTACATTTCTAAGTACAGTGATACCTCGGTTCACAAACTTAATTCGTGAACTGACTCGGGTCGCGAACCGAATTGGTCGTGAACCGAGGCATATTTCCCCACAGGGTTCAATGTAAATCCCGGTTAATCCGTTCTGACCTTTTCTTTGGCTTTTGAAGCACAAAAATATGAAACACATTACAATACACATTAGTACTGTACAGTATAGTAATGTATAAAGAGAGAACACTAACCTGGCTTGAGATGACTTCAGTAAGCACTCAAACGGGTGAACTGTACAATACAGTAAGTACAGTATTGTACAGTACAGTAGTACAGTACAGTACTGTATGTGCTAAAAAGCACACCAAAAAGCAAAAAGTCACTGAAAGTGTCTTCACAGTACTCACAGTACTTCTTTCAGTGTCTCTTCTTCTCTCCACGATCTTCCTACAGGAAGTCACGACCACGTGACAGCCTGGAAATAGCATTAAAATGGCCGCGGCTTCTGTTCGTGAACAGAAGCGGAGTTCGTGAACCGGAGCGTATTGTTATGAACTTTTCTGTTCGTGAACCGAGTTGTTCGTGAACAGAAGCGTTCGTGAACCGAGGTATCACTGTATACTAGATTTGTGTTTCTATTTCATTTATACCTGATGATGATTGCTCGTGTTGCAATCGAAACGCCGTATGCTAGCATTTAATTTATTTTATTATTTTATCTTTATACGTCACTTTACCGAAAGAACCAAAGAATGTTGGGGCAAGTGTTTGCTAGTGAGTGGGGCAAGTGTTTGCTAGCGAGTGGCACCTACGAAAGCCGGCACGGCACGCAAGGGGAGGCTGCCTCCGTCTCCCCAGCGGAGATGTTTACACACTGTACCAGGTACTTTTTTGAGGCTGAGTCGACCTAGGAGAGGCCCAGGACCAGTTCAGAAAATCGCCACTGGTGTTGGATGGCAGTGAGCGGGAATCGAACTCGGTTCGATCGGCCTTGAAGCGCAAGCGCGCTAACCGCTGCACCACCGCTCCCCGTACTCGACGACAACAACAACCGCCATTCGCCGGCGGTCAGTGGCGGTGACGTCACCACGGCGCTTGTGCCAGGCTAGGTGCGCGCACACACGCGGGCGATGACCGCACACAGGCTCGACTTGTCGCCTCGGTTAGATGGGGGTGGCGGGGGGCTGAATGTTTAACGAAAGCGAAAAATCCAAACTTCATGTCGTTGATTGTTTTTGTGCGGTCATCGGTGTCCGTGCTCGCCACGCTAAACAACCTCGGTTTGTTCGCTCGCTGAAGCCGCAATTCGAACCCGAAGGGGGTCTCGGTTGTCTGGCTCGGTGTTCCCGACATGGCCATTGTGACCTTCTTGATGGAGAAGATCAACGCATTGTGCATCCCCTGAAAGAGAGAGGCGAGAGAGAGAGAGACATCCCTGTGTCAGGGCTCGGAGCCAGGATTTCAACGCTGCTGGTGGCGTCTTTGACACGGTCATTATGAACCCCCGTGCAAGGGACAAAGCCAGGGTTTGACTCTTAAACCCCCATTATCTTCGCCGTGCTGGTATCAGTGTCTCTGACACGGCCATCGTGAACCTCTTTATGGAGAGACATCCTGACTCTGGGCTTGAACCCAGCGTCTCAGCCTTGCTGGTTCAGTGTCTCTGACACGGCCATCGTGAACCTCTTTATGGAGAGACACCCTGACTCTGGGCTTGAACCCAGCGTCTCAGCCTTGCTGGTTCAGTGTCTCTGACACGGCCATCGTGAACCTCTTTATGGAGAGACACCCTGACTCTGGGCTTGAACCCAGCGTCTCAGCCGTGCTGGTTCAGTGTCTCTGACACGGCCATCGTGAACCTCTTTATGGAGAGACACCCTGACTCTGGGCTTGAACCCAGCGTCTCAGCCGTGCTGGTTCAGTGTCTCTGACACGGCCATCGTGAACCTCTTTATGGAGAGACATCCTGACTCTGGGCTTGAACCCAGCGTCTCAGCCGTGCTGGTTCAGTGTCTCTGACACGGCCATCGTGAACCTCTTTATGGAGAGACACCCTGACTCTGGGCTTGAACCCAGCGTCTCAGCCGTGCTGGTTCAGTGTCTCTGACACGGCCATCGTGAACCTCTTTATGGAGAGACATCCTGACTCTGGGCTTGAACCCAGCGTCTCAGCCGTGCTGGTTCAGTGTCTCTGACACGGCCATCGTGAACCTCTTTATGGAGAGACATCCTGACTCTGGGCTTGAACCCAGCGTCTCAGCCGTGCTGGTTCAGTGTCTCTGACACGGCCATCGTGAACCTCTTTATGGAGAGACACCCTGACTCTGGGCTTGAACCCAGCGTCTCAGCCGTGCTGGTTCAGTGTCTCTGACACGGCCATCGTGAACCTCTTTATGGAGAGACACCCTGACTCTGGGCTTGAACCCAGCGTCTCAGCCGTGCTGGTTCAGTGTCTCTGACACGGCCATCGTGAACCTCTTTATGGAGAGACATCCTGACTCTGGGCTTGAACCCAGCGTCTCAGCCGTGCTGGTTCAGTGTCTCTGACACGGCCATCGTGAACCTCTTTATGGAGAGACATCCTGACTCTGGGCTTGAACCCAGCGTCTCAGCCGTGCTGGTTCAGTGTCTCTGACACGGCCATCGTGAACCTCTTTATGGAGAGACATCCTGACTCTGGGCTTGAACCCAGCGTCTCAGCCGTGCTGGTTCAGTGTCTCTGACACGGCCATCGTGAATTCGCTAAGAGAACGAGAGAGAGAGAGACATCCTGACTCTGGGCTTGAACCCAGCGTCTCAGCCTTGCTGGTTCAGTGTCTCTGACACGGCCATCGTGAATTCGCTAAGAGAACGAGAGAGACACCCTGACTTGGGCTTGAACCCAGCATCTCAGTCTTGCTTGTTCAGTGTCTCTGACACGGCCATCGTGAATTCGCTAAGAGAATGAGAGAGAGAGAGACATCCTGACTCTGGGCTTGAACCCAGCGTCTCAGCCTTGCTGGTTCAGTGTCTCTGACACGGCCATCGTGAATTATCTAAGAGAACGAGAGAAAGTCACTCTGACTCTGGGCTTGAACCCAGCGTCTCAGCCTTGCTGGCTCAACGTCCCCGGCGAGGCCACCCGTGCACCCGCCCGCCCGCCCCCCGCTGACAGACTGCGCTTGGGTCTGTGTCGTCGTTTTGCAGATTTGTCACAGGCCAAGAGGAAGTTCGCTCAGTCGCTGGCCAGCTTCAAGTTCGACTGCATCGGCGACGCCTCCACGGACGACGAAGTCAGCATCAGTGAGTGGCGCACACGCTCGCACGCCCGCTCGCACGCTCGTTCACTCGCTCGCGTACCCACGTCACGTAGCCCGAGTTCTCGCGTGGACGTCGCTGAACCGGGTGAGGGCGAGGACTAGAGGTGACGGTGTAGGTGAGGGTGCGCACGGTGTCGCAAGAACTTGCTTGTTCTACATCATTAGACCTCCTTTGCCAGTACCAAAATATGATAATAGGGATTTTCCCACTTTTTTCTGGCAATAAAACTGAAATTCACGTCTGCATTAACCGCAATACTTGCAGCCAAAATGCAAACAAAAAACATGCTATGATAATAAATGCATTGTCCTTGAAACTGATTGGTCCACACCAGAGACAAAAAACAAGAAAAGAAAGCTGTCTCTGGTGTGGACCAATCAGCTTCAAGGACAATGCATCTATTATCAGAGTATTGTTTTTTGTTTGCATTTGACTGCAAGTATTGTGGTTGATGTAAGCATGATTCCTTGCAAAAGGTGTCAGTTTTGTTGCCGGAAAAAAAGGGGAAAAACCCCTATGAGTATATTTTGGTACTGGCAAAGAAGGTCCCATGATGTAGCTGCTGACCCCGAGCTCTCATTACTCTGGTAGTGAGTTGTCTTTGAACTGTGTGCGCCTTTTGGCGTCATCTGGTCGAACACCATATGAGACTAGGCTCTAAAGAAAGCTGTCTCTGGTGTGGACCAATCAGTTTCAAGGACAGTGCATAAATTATCAGAGTTGTGTTTTTTGTTTGCATTTGACTGCAAGTATTGTGGTTAATGTAAGCATGACTCCTTGCAAAAGGTGTCAGTTTTGTTGCCAGAAAAAAGGGGGAAAAACCCCTTTTAGTATATTTTGGTACTGGCAAAGGAGGTCCCATGATATGATATCATCGTGTTTGTGGTGTCCTTCCACAGCGCCTTTTGACCAGCATGTATGGTGTGAAAGAAGTTCAACGCACACACAGACGATAACGAGCCCGGCATGCTAATTAGGGTTCCTTGTTTTTTCTCGTCGTCGCTGTAACTGCTCCCCTCCCTGTCCCCGTGCTTCGTGCTGTTTAGCCGGATCACTCCAAGAGTTCGCAAAGCTCCTGGGCTCCATGGAGGACGAGAGGGAGAGGATGGTGCGTGCGATCCAGGCAAACCGTGTCGGTGTTGAGGCTGCAGGAGATAACGTTGAGCCTCAACGCTGACACACAGACTCAACGCTGACACACAGACTCAACGCTGACACACAACACTGACACACAGACTCAACACTGACACACAACACTGACACACAGACTCAACACTGACACTCAACGCTGACACACAGACTCAACACTGACACACAACACTGACACACAGACTCAACACTGACACACAACACTGACACACAGACTCAACACTGACACACAACACTGACACACAGACTCAACACTGACACACAACACTGACACACAGACTCAACACTGACACACAACACTGACACACAGACTCAACACTGACACACAACACTGACACACAGACTCAACACTGACACACAACACTGACACACAGACTCAACACTGACACTCAACGCTGACACACAGACTCAACACTGACACACAACACTGACACACAGACTCAACACTGACACACAACACTGACACACAGACTCAACACTGACACACAACACTGACACACAGACTCAACACTGACACACAACACTGACACACAGACTCAACACTGACACACAACACTGACACACAGACTCAACACTGACACACAACACTGACACACAGACTCAACACTGACACACAACACTGACACACAGACTCAACACTGACACACAACACTGACACACAGACTCAACACTGACACACAACACTGACACACAGACTCAACACTGACACACAACACTGACACACAGACTCAACACTGACACACAACACTGACACACAGACTCAACACTGACACACAACACTGACACACAGACTCAACACTGACACACAACACTGACACACAGACTCAACACTGACACACAACACTGACACACAGACTCAACACTGACACACAACACTGACACACAGACTCAACACTGACACACAACACTGACACACAGACTCAACACTGACACATAACACTGACACACAGACTCAACACTGACACACAACACTGACACACAGACTCAACACTGACACACAACACTGACACACAGACTCAACACTGACACTCAACGCTGACACACAGACTCAACACTGACACACAGACTCAACACTGACACACAACACTGACACACAGACTCAACACTGACAGTCTCAACGCTGACGCAACACTGACACACAGCCTCAACACTGACACACAACACTGACACACAGACTCAACACTGACACACAACACTGACACACAACACTGACACACAGACTCAACACTGACACACAACACTGACACACAGCCTCAACGCTGACACACAACACTGACACACAACACTGACACACAACACTGACACACAGCCTCAACGCTGACACACAACACTGACACACAACACTGACACACAGCCTCAACACTGACACACAACACTGACACACAGACTCAACACTGACACACAGTCTCAACACTGACCCACAAGCCTCAACACAGTTTCCGATTAAGTCCGTTTCAATTGTTGTTGTCTTTACCGTTTGTTTACAGATAGCTAGCGTGTGCGACGTGTTGATCACTCCGTTGGAGAGGTTTCGCAAAGATCAAATTGGCGCTGCCAAGGTACGTATGTGGGTCTCTGTGTGAGTCTGTGGGTCTCTGTGTGAGTCTGTGGGTCTCTATGTGTGAGTCTGTGGGTCTCTGTGTGAGTCTGTGGGTCTCTGTGCGAGTCTGTGGGTCTCTGTGCGAGTCTGTGGGTCTCTGTGTGAGTCTGTGGGTCTCTGTGTGAGTCTGTGGGTCTCTATGTGTGAGTCTGTGGGTCTCTGTGTGAGTTTCTGTGTGAGTCTGTGGGTCTGTGTGAGTCTGTAGTTCTCTGTGTGAGTCTATGGGTTTCTGTGTGAGTATATGGGTCTTTATGCAAGTCTGTGTCTCTGTGTGAGTCTATGCTTCTCTGTGTGAGTCTATGCGTCTCTGTGTGAGTCTATGGGTCACTGTGTGAGTCTATGCATGTCTTTGTGAGTCTATCGGGTCTCTGTGTGAGTCTGTGGGTCTCTGTGTGAGTCTGTGGGTCTCTGTGTGAGTCTGTGGGTCTCTGTGCGAGTCTGTGGGTCTCTGTGTGAGTCTGTGGGTCTCTGTGTGAGTCTGTGGGTCTCTGTGTGAGTCTGTGGGTCTCTGTGCGAGTCTGTGGGTCTCTGTGTGAGTCTGTGGGTCTCTGTGTGAGTCTATGAGTCTCTGTGTGAGTCTGTGGGTCTCTGTGTGAGTCTATGGGTCTCTGTGTGAGTCTATGGGTCTTTATGCAAGTCTGTGTCTCTGTGTGAGTCTATGGTTCTCTGTGTGAGTCTATGCGTCTCTGTGTGAGTCTACGGGTCGCTGTGTGGTTCTATGGATCTCTGTGTGAGTCTGTGGGTTTCTATGTGAGTCTGTGGGTCTCTGTGTGAGTTTCTGTGTGAGTCTGTGGGTCTGTGTGAGTCTGTAGTTCTCTGTGTGAGTCTATGGGTCTCTATGCAAGTCTTTGCTGTGGCAACTCTCTTTGTTTCTCAGTAAAAAAGCTGAACGTGTTACGGCCATCGCTAGAGACATTGCTACATGTTAAGCAACCCGTTAACTGGTTTCTACTGGTTTAAATTTATGGCTCTTTATCTGGAGTCTATGGGACTTTACATAAATCTGTGGGTCTGTGTGAGTCTCACTCAGCCAGTTACTCATACTTACTTGCCCACCTACACACTCGCCCGCTCGCTCGCCCACCCACTCATCCACTCACTCACTCTTTTACATACTCACTCATCCGTTCGTAAATACGTGGTTACGATGGCTTTCGTAAAGATGATCTGAAATTAATGAAAGTTTAGTTTAAAAGTTGTGTTGCTATTAGAGACTCAGCCAGTTCATCTTCTTGGTTCTTTCGGTAAAGTCACGTAGAAGGGAAGTAATAAAATAATAAAAATAAAACATAACAAAATAATTCTCACGACGTTTCGGCCACAACGCAAGCAGCCATCCTCAGGTGAAGAACAGGTCTGTTGAGAAGGCAGACTCTGACAGACCTGTTCTCCACCTGAAGACGGCTGCTTGCGTTGTGGCCGAAACGTCGTGAGAATTATTTTGTTATGTTTTATTTCTATTATTTTATTACTTCCCTTCTACGTGACTTTACCGAAAGAACCAAGAAGATGAATCCCTGCAGTCACGAAAGCTTTAAATCGAAACGCAGCCAGTTACCGACACACTCACCCACTCACCCACTCACTAGTCTACTCGCTCACGCAAGCAGCGAATCGCACACATTCACTCACTTGCCCGCCCATTCGAACACCAACTCACCCGCTCACATGCTGCAACACTAACCCATCTGTCCTTGTGTAACTCGGGGGTTGCGGTAACCTCCCGTCAAGGCTGACCCATTCTGAACGCAACTTTAAGCCTCAGAGTTGTTACATGAGATGGAATCGCAACTGCTTGATCATCCGGATCGCAAGGGTTGCCAACGGTGACGAGATGTTAACTACCTCGCCTGGTATACAGGAGGTCCTGGGTTCGATCTCGACCCTGACGACGCCTGCTGTATATTTAGAGTTTGCGTGTCTCTCTCTCTCTGTGGTGAGATGTTGACTACCTCGTGGTGACTTTACCGAAAGAACCAAGAAGATGAATCCCTGCAGTCACGGAAGAAGCTTTAAATCGAAAAATAAAATAATAAATTAAATACTAGCATACGACGTTTCGATTGCAACACGAGCAATCGTCATCAGGTATAAATGAAATAGAAACACAAATCTAGTAGAGTTAGAAATGTAATGTAATACAGCAGAGAGAGTCGGATAACATAACGGTCAACACCCTACCTGGTTGATTACGTTCTTCCTGAGAATGCTAAATTTGAGAGAGAGAGATACAACACAGAACCAGAGACATATAGACAGACATATAAGCAGTGTGAACCACAAATGATAGCTCAACGTAGCGGCTCATCACGTATACATTTATAGCAGGCGAACGCTCTAAACGCGTGACGTTGATTCTAAATGTGGAGGGAAGAACACGGAGGACCCAGATAAAAATCCACGCGACCACGGGGAGAGAGAGAGACTCCAAATAAACAGCAGCAGGCGTCAGGGTCAGGATTGAACCCACGGCCTCCTGTAGACCAGGCGAGGTAGTTGACATCTCACCACAGAGAGAGAGACACGCAAACTCCAAATGTACAGCAGGCATCGTCAGGGTCGGGATCGAACCCACAGCCTCCTGTATACCAGGCGAGGTAGTCAACATCTCACCACAGAGAGAGACACGCAAACTCCAAATATACAGCAGGCATCGTCAGGGTCGGGATCGAACCCACGACCTCCTGTAGACCAGGCGAGGTAGTTAACATCTCACCACGGAGAGAGAGAGAGACACGCAAACTCCAAATGTGGTTGTTGTGGTGATCCTCGCGTGGTGTGTGCGTGGTTGTTGTTGTGGTTGTTGTGGTGATCCTCACGTGGTGTGTGTGTACGTGGTTGTTGTGGTTGTTGTAGTTGTTGGGGTTGTTGTGGTTGTTGTGGTGGTCTTCACCCGGTGTGTGTGGGTTGTTGTGGTTGTTGTGGTTGTTGTGGTGATCCCCGTGCGGTGTGTGCGTGGTTGTGGTTGTTGTGGTTGTTGTGGTTGTGGTGATCCTCACGTGGTTGTTGTGGTTATTGTGGTGGTCTTCACCCGGTGTGTGTGGGTTGTTGTGGTTGTTGTGGTGATCCCCGTGCGGTGTGTGCGTGGTTGTGGTTGTTGTGGTTGTTGTTGTGGTTGTGGTGATCCTCACGTGGTTGTTGTGGTTGTTGTGGTTGTTGTTGTGGTTGTGGTTGTTGTTGTGTGTGTCTCAGGACGAGAAGAAGAAGTTTGACAAGGAGAGCGACAAGTACTACACGCAGCTGGAGAAACACGTCAGCCTATCCTCCAAGAAGAAGGAGACCCTCCTCACTGAGGTCATACCGCTGTGCCCCCGTCACTCCTTCACTCCTTCACTCCTTCACTCGTTCGCTCATTCATTCGGTCGTTGGTTCAATCACTCGTTCACTCACTCATTCATTCATTCATTCGGTCGTTGGTTCAATCACTCCTTCACTCGCTCATTCATTCATTCATTCGGTCGTTGGTTCAATCACTCGTTCACTCGCTCATTCATTCATTTATTCGGTCGTTGGTTCAATCACTCGTTCACTCGCTCATTCATTCATTCATTCGGTCGTTGGTTCAATCACTCCTTCACTCGTTCGCTCATTCATTCATTCATTCGGTCGTTGGTTCAATCACTCCTTCACTCGCTCATTCATTCATTCGGTCGTTGGTTCAATCACTCGTTCACTCGCTCATTCATTCATTCATTCGGTCGTTGGTTCAATCACTCGTTCACTCGCTCATTCATTCATTCATTCGGTCGTTGGTTCAATCACTCCTTCACTCGTTCGCTCATTCATTCATTCATTCGGTCGTTGGTTCAATCACTCGTTCACTCGCTCATTCATTCATTCATTCGGTCGTTGGTTCAATCACTCGTTCACTCGCTCATTCATTCATTCATTCGGTCGTTGGTTCAATCGCTCGTTCACTCGCTCATTCATTCATTCATTCGGTCGTTGGTTCAATCACTCCTTCACTCGCTCATTCATTCATTCATTCGGTCGTTGGTTCAATCACTCGTTCACTCGCTCATTCATTCATTCATTCGGTCGTTGGTTCAATCACTCCTTCACTCGCTCATTCATTCATTCATTCGGTCGTTGGTTCAATCACTCCTTCACTCGTTCGCTCATTCATTCATTCGGTCGTTGGTTCAATCACTCGTTCACTCACTCATTCATTCATTCATTCGGTCGTTGGTTCAATCACTCCTTCACTCGCTCATTCATTCATTCATTCGGTCGTTGGTTCAATCACTCGTTCACTCGCTCATTCATTCATTCATTCGGTCGTTGGTTCAATCACTCGTTCACTCACTCATTCATTCATTCATTCGGTCGTTGGTTCAATCACTCGTTCACTCGCTCATTCATTCATTCATTCGGTCGTTGGTTCAATCACTCGTTCACTCACTCATTCATTCATTCATTCGGTCGTTGGTTCAATCACTCCTTCACTCGCTCATTCATTCATTCATTCGGTCGTTGGTTCAATCACTCGTTCACTCGCTCATTCATTCATTTATTCGGTCGTTGGTTCAATCACTCGTTCACTCGCTCATTCATTCATTCATTCGGTCGTTGGTTCAATCACTCCTTCACTCGTTCGCTCATTCATTCATTCATTCGGTCGTTGGTTCAATCACTCCTTCACTCGCTCATTCATTCATTCGGTCGTTGGTTCAATCACTCGTTCACTCGCTCATTCATTCATTCATTCGGTCGTTGGTTCAATCACTCGTTCACTCGCTCATTCATTCATTCATTCGGTCGTTGGTTCAATCACTCCTTCACTCGTTCGCTCATTCATTCATTCATTCGGTCGTTGGTTCAATCACTCGTTCACTCGCTCATTCATTCATTCATTCGGTCGTTGGTTCAATCACTCGTTCACTCGCTCATTCATTCATTCATTCGGTCGTTGGTTCAATCACTCCTTCACTCGCTCATTCATTCATTCATTCGGTCGTTGGTTCAATCACTCGTTCACTCACTCATTCATTCATTCATTCGGTCGTTGGTTCAATCACTCGTTCACTCGCTCATTCATTCATTCATTCATTCATTCGGTCGTTGGTTCAATCACTCCTTCACTCGCTCATTCATTCATTCATTCGGTCGTTGTTTCTATCGGTCATTCGTCCGCTTGCGATGGACTCGCTCGTTGATTCGTGAGATCGGCAATTCGACCGCTTTCGTGACTGCAGGGATTCATCTTCTTGGTTCTTTCGGTAAAGTCACCACGTAGAAGGAAAATAATAAAATAATAAAAATAAAACATTAAATAATTCTCACGACGTTTCGGCCACAACGCAAGCAGCCGTCCTCAGGTGAAGAACAGGTCTGTTGGAAAGACAGCGTCTGAATGAATGAAAAATATTAAATAAATGGGTTCATTCAGACGCTGTCTTTTCAACAGACCTGTTCTTCACCTGAGGACGGCTGCTTGCGTTGTGGCCGAAACGTCGTGAGAATTATTTTATAAGTTTTATTTTTATTATTTTATTACTTCCCTTCTACGTGACTTTACCGAAAGAACCAAGAAGATGATTCTGGAATTACTCCGCTCGTTTGTTGAGATTCGTTCGCCCGTCCGCTGAGTCACTCGCTCAAGTTTGCCGTTTTCGTTCATTCGCTATTCGTTCATTTGTCTTCATCCTCTCGGTCACAATCACAAAGACAAGTTTCAAGTTTCATTTATTAGGTATAGAGAGAGCCCTGTGAGCCATTCGGCTCTTGAATCGGGTGCAACCGCAACAAACAAAAAACTAAAATATGAACAAGAAAACATCTTAAAGTGACTATGTGACTAAGTGCAAACAGAAAATCCAAGAAAAGACAGCAAAATATTGCAGACAAAAGACACCGTATACCAACACTGTGTGCACAAATCCCAGTGGGATGCAAGTCAAACAACAACAACCACAAGACAACTTAGATTTAGGCCATCAGTCTAACTCTGTACTACAACAAACAAACATGGCCAAACCGAAAAACTTTTCTAAAATCACCAAAATAAAGCCATGAAAGCAATGAAACAACAGTGATCATAGGAACTGTGACCGAATTTTCACAATAAACGACATAAACAACATGTACTACCAAACCCTGCAGCCATAGCTGGCTGCATGAGTCACTCCACAACAGCAGGAGCATCAGTCGGAGTGTCAACATTTTTCAGTGCACCTTTAAGATCAGCAAAGATTCTCTCCCCCGCCTGTATAGCCTCAACAGACTGTAGGGGCAAGTGCTGTTAGCGAGCACCTATGAAGGCCGGCACGGCACACGAGGGGGTGGGTGGCCAGCACCACGCCCGGCCGCCTTTGTCTCCCTAGTGGCGATGTTTATACACAGACACACGTACACGTGCAGACAGACACACACATCTACCTAGACACACAACAACAACCGCCATTCGCCACTGAGTGGCGGTGACGTCACCACGGCGCTTGTGCCAGGCTATGTGCACTTTCAAGGCCACGGGAAGTATCGAACGCCCGCTGGCGGGAGGTCACGGGACAGACCCAGCAGGTGCCACGGGTTGACTGCCTGAGACAGACACACACACACCTCGATAAAGATGCATGATGTGTTTGCCAGTGTACTTTAACCTGTACGGTAATGTCACGATGGGACTTGTACTTTGAACGAGGCTCACACCCATACATTCCTACATACAAAGACAAATACAAAGATCCCCCATATAGCCTTAATAGACTGTTGGGGAAAGTGCTGTAAGTGGTTAGCACCCATGGAGGTCAATGACAACACCACGCCCAGCCACCTTTGTCTCCCCAGTGGCGATGTTTATACACCGCACCAGGGATTCATCTTCTTGGTTCTTTCGGTAAAGTCATCACGTAGAAGGGAAATAATAAATAATAAAAATAAAACATAATAAAATAATTCTCACGACGTTTCGGCCACAACGCCAAGCAGCCGTCCTCAGGTGAAGAACAGGTCTGTCAGGAAGACAGCGTCTGAATGGCTCATTCAGACGCTGTCTTTCCGACAGACCTGTTCATTCAGACGCTGTCTTTCCGATAGACTGTTCATTCAGACGCTGTCTTTCCGATAGACCTGTTCATTCAGATGCTGTCTTTCCGACAGACCTGTTCATTCAGACGCTGTCTTTCCGATAGACCTGTTCATTCAGAGGCTGTCTTTCCGACAGACCTGTTCATTCAGACGCTGTCTTTCCGACAGACCTGTTCATTCAGACGCTGTCTTTCCGACAGACCTGTTCATTCAGACGCTGTCTTTCCGACAGACCTGTTCATTCAGACACTGTCTTTCCGACAGACCTGTTCTTCACCTGAGGACGGCTGCTTGCGTTGTGGCCGAAACGTCGTGAGAATTGTATTTTATTATGTTTTATTTTTATTATTTTATTATTTCCCTTCTACGTGATGACTTTACCGAAAGAACCAAGAAGATGAATCCCTGCAGTCACGAAAGAAGCTTTAAATCGAAATTCGCACCAGGGTACTTGAGGCTGAGTCGACCTAAAGGGGAGGCACAGGACCGGTGCAGACATTTAACCGGGTATCGAACTCGGGCTTTGTAGGGCGTGGCACGCAAACCGCGGCACCACCGCTCCCCTCCCGCATCTAACAAAGACAAGATCCCCCGTGTAGCCTCAACAGACTATAGGGGCAAGTGCTGTTAGCGAGCACCTATGAAGGCCGGAACAGCACACGAGGGGGTGGGTGGCCAGCACCACGCCCGACCGCCTTTGTCTCCCCAGTGACGATGTTTACACACCGCACCAGGTACTCATTTGAGGCTGAGTCGACCTAGGGGAAGGCCCCAGGACCGGTTCAGATAATCGTCACTGGGTGTTGGCCGTGAGCGGGAATCGAACCCGGGTCGCTAGGTTCGTAGCGCAGCGTAGCGCTAACCGCTACACTACGAGCTGACACGTACACGCTGACACGTACACGCTGACACGTACACGCTGACACGTACACGCTGACACGTACACATTCGCAGTGACAGAGGGACACGTGACCACAAAGTTCCGGCAGAATCTTGTAACGTTATTGCCCCCCCGACGTTGGCAAACATTAACCAGGTTTCAGTCTTCACAGTCGGGGCGGGGGTAGGGTGACGTTTGCTTATTGGCACTCTGTACGACATTCTACAATGCGTTACTTATTTTATACACTCCAGAGGGCGATGGCGATGATGATGATGACGCTGCTGATTATGAAGCACGGTTAGCTATGTACGTTGCGAAAGAAGTTTAACGTACATCCAAGGCTGCTGTTTATGACGTTGACAATATTATTGATCGTGGTGGATGATGCTGATGATCGTAATCTGCTGATGCTGCCGATTTTAATAATATCGATGCTGATGGTGATGATGATAATTTTGCTGATGACGATGATTGTGATGGTGGTACCATTGATGATGATTTATGACGTTGACAATATTATTGATCGTGGTGGATGATGCTGATGATCGTAATCTGCTGATGCTGCCGATTTTAATAATATCGATGCTGATGGTGATGATGATAATTTTGCTGATGACGATGATTGTGATGGTGGTACCATTGATGATGATTGTGATGAGATGAGATGCTGATGTTGGTACCGCTGATGCTGTTGCCGCTGCTGATGATAATATTGATGGTGATGGGTAATGAGTAACACTGGTGTTGATGATATTTTTCTCATGATGATGATGATTGTGACGGTGATACCATTGATGATGATTGTGATGAGTGAGATGCTGATGTTGGTACCGCTGATGCTGTTGCCGCTGCTGATGATAATATTGATGGTGATGGGTAATGAGTAACACTGGTGTTGATGATATTTTTCTCATGATGATGATGATTTTGATGGTGGTACCATTGATGATGATTGTGATGAGTGAGATGCTGATGTTGGTACCGCTGATGCAGTTTCCGCTGCTGATGATAATATTGATGGTGATGGGTAATGGGTAACACTGGTGTTGATGATATTTTTCTCATGATGATGATGATGATGATGATTGTGATGGTGATACCATTGATGATGATTGTGATGAGTGAGATGCTGATGTTGGTACCGCTGATGCAGTTGCCGCTGCTGATGATAATATTGATGGTGATGGGCAGTGAGTAACACTGGTATTGATGATATTTTTCTCATAATGATGATTGTGATTGTGACGGTGATGCCATTGATGATGATTGTGATGAGTGAGATGCTGATGTTGGTACCGCTGATGCTGTTGCCGCTGCTGATGATGATATTGATGGTGATGGGCAATGTGTAATCCAGCAGACGATTGACCATTTGGTGGTGGCCCCTCACGCTGACTGATGCCCCCCAACCTGAAAATGTGTGTCTGCGTATGTCTGTCTGTGGATGTGTCCATCTGCGTGCGCCTGCGTGTGTCTCTGCGTTTGTCTGTGTGTGTCTCTGCGTGTGTCTGTGTGTGTCTCTGCGTGTGTCTGTGTGTGTCTCTGCGTGTCTCTGCGTGTGTCTCTGCGTGTGTCTCTGCGTGTCTCTGTGTGTGTCTCTGCGTGTGTCTCTGCCTGCGTGTGTCTGTGTGTGTCTCTGCCTGCGTGTGTCTGTGTGCGTCTCTGCCTGTATGTGTCTGCGTGTGTCTGTGCGTGTCTCTGCGTGTGTCTGTGTGTGTCTGTGCGTGTGTCTGTGTGTGTCTGCGTGTCTCTGCGTGTGTCTCTGTGTGTCTGCATGTGTCTGTATGTGTCTCTGCCTGCGTGTGTCTGGCGTGTGTCTGCGTGTGTCTGTGTGTGTCTCTGTCTGTGTGTGTGTGTGTGTCTCTGTATGTGTCTGTGTGTGTCTCTGCGTGTGTGTCTGCGTGTGTCTGCGTGTGTCTGCGTGTCTCTGCGTGTGTCTCTGTGTGCGTGTGTCTCTGCGTGTGTCTCTGCGTGTGTCTCTGCGTGTGTCTGTGTGCGTCTGCGTGCGTCTGCGTGTCTCTGCGCGTGTCTCTGCGTGTGTCTGTGTGTCTCTGCGTGTCTCTGCGCGTGTCTCTGCTTGTGTCTGTGTGTGTCTGCGTGCGTCTGCGTGTCTCTGCGCGTGTCTCTGCGCGCGTCTGCTGTGCAGGCCGACACGCAGCTGGAGGTGACACGGAGGCACTTCAACGAGGTCTCCCTGCAGTACGTGTGCAAGGTGCAGGAGGTGCAGGAGCGCAAGAAGTTTGAGTTTGTGGAGCCGGTAAGGTCGTCATCACCGTCACCGTCATCGCCACCGTCGTCACGGTCACCGTCATCACCGTCACCGTCATCGCCACCGTCGTCACGGTCACCGTCGTCACCGTCATCGCCACCGTCGTCACGGTCACCGTCATCGCCGTCATCGTCGTCATCGTCACCATCGTGGACTTGATGATCGTCATCAGCGTTGTCATTGTCTTGGGCATCGGTATCAACGTCGGCATCATGGACTTAATCGTCGTCGGTGTTGCCATCGTCATCAGCATCATCGCCATCGTCATGATCATCGTCATCATCATCATCGCCATCGTCATGATCATCATCATCAGCGTTGTCATTGTCTTGGGCATCGATATCAACGTCGGCATCATGGATTTAATCATCATCGGTGTTGTCATCGTCATCATCATCATCGTCATGATCATCATCATCATCAGTGTCGTCATTGTCTTCTTCATACTCTTAGGTTTTTTTCGGTAAAGTCACGTAGGTAAAAATAAATAAAATAATAGAAATAAAATTAAAAATCACGACGTTTCGGAAGGCAACACAAGTCTCCGTCATCAGGTGGGACCGTCACAGCTCGATTTACTGTATCAAGGTAAATCTAGAATTGTCTCAATCAACATCATCATCATCGGTGTTGCCTTCATCATCATCATCATCATTGGTGTTGTCTCCATCATCATCATCATCGGTGTTGTCTCCATCATCATCATCATCGGTGTTGTCTCCATCATCATCATCGGTGTTGCCTTCATCATCATCATCATCATCGGTGTTGCCTTCATCATCATCATCATCATCGGTGTTGCCTTCATCATCATCATCATCGGTGTTGCCATCATCATCATCATCGGTGTTGCCTTCATCATCATCATCATCATCGGTGTTGCCTTCATCATCATCATCGGTGTTGCCTTCATCATCATCATCATCGGTGTTGCCTTCATCATCATCATCATCGGTGTTGCCTTCATCATCATCATCATCGGTGTTGCCTTCATCATCATCATCATCATCGGTGTTGTCTCCATCATCATCATCATCGGTGTTGTCTCCATCATCATCATCATCGGTGTTGCCTTCATCATCATCATCGGTGTTGCCTTCATCATCATCATCATCGGTGTTGTCTCCATCATCATCATCATCGGTGTTGTCTCCATCATCATCATCATCGGTGTTGCCTTCATCATCATCATCATCATCGGTGTTGCCTTCATCATCATCATTGGTGTTGTCTCCATCATCATCATCATCATCGGTGTTGTCTCCATCATCATCATCATCGGTGTTGTCTCCATCATCATCATCGGTGTTGCCTTCATCATCATCATCATCATCGGTGTTGTCTCCATCATCATCATCATCATCGGTGTTGTCTCCATCATCATCATCATCGGTGTTGCCTTCATCATCATCATCATCATCGGTGTTGCCTTCATCATCATCATCATCATTGGTGTTGTCTCCATCATCATCATCATCGGTGTTGTCTCCATCATCATCATCATCGGTGTTGTCTCCATCATCATCATCGGTGTTGCCTTCATCATCATCATTGGTGTTGCCTTCATCATCATCGTAGCCGTGTGTAAAGTCCTACCATCCCTCCCCCCGTCCCCGCGTCTTCCCCTCTCACAGCTGCTGGCATTTCTCCAGGGTCTCTTCACGTTCTACCACCAGGGCTACGAGCTCGCCAAGGAGTTCCACCACTACCAGCACTTCCTGCAGGGCAACATCCAGAACGTGAGTACGCGTGCCACCTACACAGCCGTCGATACGCCCGGCACGATGATCATCACCACCACCACCATCATCAGCATCATCACCATCATCAGCATCATCATCATCATCTTCTTCATCACCACCACCATCTTCATCAGCACCATCACCACCACCATCATCATCACCACCACCACCATCACCACCACCATCTTCACCACCACCACCATCTTCATCAGCATCATCACCACCACCATCATCATCACCACCACCATCATCACCTCCGCCACCACCACCACCATCATCATCACCACCACCATCATCACCACCATCATCACCGCCACCACCATCACCACCACCATCACCACCACCTCCCCCACCACCACCACCACCACCTCCCCCACCACCACCACCATCATCACCTCCCCCACCACCACCACCATCATCACCACCACTACCACCATCATCACCTCCCCCACCACCACCACCATCATCATCACCTCCCCCACCACCACCACCATCACCACCACCACCACGTTGCTCTCGGCGTATCTTGTCATCAGCGACGTGGCTGTCGCTCAACGAAGTGGCTTATCAGGAGCCAAATAATCTCAATAGGTGCTCGCCAACAAGCCCACCCCCCCCTTGCCTCTTCAGTCTGCGAGACTACCCAGGGGATCTTTGTCTTGTTGTTATTGTTTTGGCCTGGTGGGATGGCGATGGTGTAGTTGTATTTATTCTTTGGTTCTTTCGGTAAAGTCACGTCTAAAGACAAAATAATAAATTAAATAATAGCATATTACGACGTTTCGATTGCAACACAAGCAATCATCATCAGGCATAAAAGAAATAGCAACAAAAATTATCTAACTAGAAAACTATAGACAGACGTACAAGCAGACAGACATCACAAGGACACACAGAGAGAGGACACGTATTTGTTTGTGTTTGGGTGATCCTTTACCTTTCTTGCACTTTGCACGACTGCCGTGCTTTCGTATTGTGTCTGTTGTCGTGGCGTTCTCACCCCGTGACCCTCCCGGACATCTGTCATAAAGAGCTTCACGGCTCATCGGATTTCCTCGCGGTGTGTGAACAATTGTTTTGGTTCTGTTTGTCGTCCGTCGGCGTAGACGCGGGAGCGCTTTGAGAGCACGCGCTCCGAGGTGGAGCAGCTGATGCAGAAGATGAACACCTCGTTTGGAGCGCGCGTCCCCCAGAACCCGTTCGTCATCGAGGGCTACCTCTTCATGCTGGAGAAACGTACGTCAGTGCAGGAGTTTGCTCGCTCGCTCGCTCGCTCGCCTAATCACTCACCCAATGACTCACCCATTCACTCACCCAATCACTCGCCCAGTCACTCACCCATTCACTCACCCACTCACTCACCCACTCACTCACCCACTCACCCATTCACTCACCCATTCACTCACCCACTCACTCACTCACCCACTCACTCACTCACTCACTCAATCACTCACCCACTTACTCACCCAGTGACTCACCCAATCACTCACCCAATCACTCACCCATTCACTCACCCATTCACTCACCCACTCACTCACCCACTCACCCATTCACTCACCCATTCACTCACCCAATCACTCACTCAATCACTCACCCACTCACTCACCCACACACCCACTCACTCACCCAATCACTCACTCACCCAATCACTAACTCACCCACTCACTCAATCACTCACTCACTCACCCACTCACTCAATGACTCGGCCAATCACTCACCCAATCACTCACCCAGTCACTCACCCAATCACTCAGCCACCCACTCACTCAATCACTCACTCACTCACCCAATCACTCACCCAATCACTCACCCACTCACTCACCCACTCACCCACTCACTCAATGACTCGCCCAATCACTCACCCAATCACTCACTCACTCACCCACTCACCCAATCACTCACTCACCCATTCACTCACCCAATCACTCACTCAATCACTCACTCACTCACCCACTCACCCAATAACTCACCCACCCAATGACTCACCCACTCACTCACCCAATCACTCACTCACTCAATCACTCACTCACCCACCCATTCACTCACCCATTCACTCACCCACCCATTCACTCACCCATTCACTCACCCATTCACTCACTCAATCACTCACCCACTTACTCACCCAATCACTCACCCACTCACCCAATCACCCACCCAATCACCCACTCACCCAATCACCCACTCACCCAATCACCCACCCACTCACTCACTCACCCACTCACCCACCCACTCACCCACTCACTCACCCATTCACTCACTCAATCACTCACCCAATGACTCACCCAATGTCTCACCCAATGACTCACCCACTCACTCACCCAATCACTCACCCAATCACTCACCCACTCACCCACTCACTCACCCACCCAATCACTCACCCACTCACCCAATCACCCACTCACCCAATCACCCAATCACTCACCCAATCACTCACCCAATCACTCACCCACTCACCCACTCACCCACTCACCCAATGACTCTCCCACTCACTCACCCACTCACTCACTCACCCACCCACCCACTCACCCACTCACCCACCCACTCACCCACTCACCCACTCACCCACCCACTCACCCACCCACTCACCCACTCACCCACTCACCCACCCACTCACCCACTCACCCACTCACCCACTCACCCACCCACTCACCCACTCACTCACTCACTCACCCACTCACTCACCCACTCACTCACCCACTCACTCACCCACTCACTCACCCACCCACTCACCCACTCACTCACCCACTCACCCACTCACCCACTCACTCACCCACTCACTCACCCACTCACTCACCCACTCACTCACCCACTCACTCACCCACCCACTCACTCACCCACTCACTCACCCACTCACTCACTCACCCACTCACCCACTCACTCACCCACCCAATCACTCACCCACTCACCCACCCACTCACTCACTCACCCACTCACTCACCCACTCACTCACCCACCCACTCACTCACCCACTCACTCACCCACCCACTCACCCACCCACCCACTCACCCACTCACTCACCCACCCACCCACCCACTCACCCACCCACCCACTCACCCACTCACCCACCCACTCACCCACTCACCCACCCACTCACCCACTCACTCACTCACTCACCCACTCACTCAACCACCCACCCAACCCAATCACCCACCCACTCACTCACCCACTCACCCACCCACTCACCCAATCACTCACCCACTCACTCACCCACCCAATGACTCACCCACTCACTCACCCACTCACTCACTCACCCACTCACCCACTCACTCACCCACCCAATCACTCACCCACTCACTCACCCACCCACTCACTCACTCACTCACCCACTCGTCCAAATTCTTTGGCTTTGTTCTTTGCTCCATATCACCCGGTACAGAGACAAGGCCATTAAGGCGGCTGCCTCTGGTGTAGGTCAGTTGGCTTCAAGGACTGCATCACGTTACATTAGTAACAAACAAAGTGTTTGCTTCTACTCTGCTCCTATTGAAGTTGCTATCGGGTCTAACGCCGGTGCAGACACTGTAGCTCTGGTGGAGGCCCTCGGTTTCAAGGACGGTGGTTGCGTGATTTCATCAAAGCGTCTTTTTAAATCCTTTATATTAAGTTCGCTTGCTTGCGCGCTTGCTTGCGCGCTTGCTTGCTTGCGCGCTTACGACCGTGCAAATCTTTCGGTCGTTTTTTATTTAAATCTTTTATATTAAGTTCGCTTGCTTGCTTGCTTATGACCGTGCAAATCTTTCGGTCGTTTTTTAACCCACTTCCCATGATCCAGTCGAGCTGACATTTTGCACACAGACTCGTTGTGCGTGACAATTTCTTTTCGTGAAATTTTTTTCCCAAAACTTTACACTTTTTAGGAAAAAATAAATTACATTTAATTACCAATTGCTTAATGGTGGCAGGCAATCATCTGACCCATAGGTGGCAGCCATCTCAAGCCAGAGGACGAGAGGACTCTAGCCGCCCGTTTCAAAGACCAATGTGGGCTGGGTTGTGGCCCATTGAACACGCATATAAAGGATTTATAGTGAAAAACTTTGTTTTTACGGGTTAATTTTTTCGAAATTTGTCTCTGTCTGCTTGGTGTTTGAGCATCTTAACTCCTCATTTTGTTCTTGCCGGAGATGATATGAAGCCCATTTTGTTACATATATAAACATCTCCGTATATTTTTCGATTTAAAGCTTTCGTGACTGCAGGGATTCATCTTCTTGGTTCTTTCGGTAAAGTCACGTAGAAGGGAAATAATAAAATAATAAAAATAAAAGATAAAATAATTCTCACGACGTTTCGGCCACAACGCAAGCAGCCGTCCTCAGGTGTATGGAAGGCAAAGCTGTGATTATGTGCGTCTGTTCAAAATGTTTAGCGTACTTCCCGACGTGCAACAAACTTGAAATTTGTCATGTGGGTACTTTCCAGACTGTACACCTTGAGACACGCACACACGCACGTAGCCTTGAGACACGGACACACGCACGTAGCCTTGAGACACGGACACACGCACGTAGCCTTGAGACACTGACACACACGCACGTAGCCTTGAGACACGGACACACGCACGTAGCCTTGAGACACGGACACACGCACGTAGCCTTGAGACACTGACACACACGCACGTAGCCTTGAGACACGGACACACGCACGTAGCCTTGAGACACTGACACACGCACGTAGCCTTGAGACACTGACACACGCACGTAGCCTTGAGACACTGACACACACGCACGTAGCCTTGAGATACACGCACACACGCACGTAGCCTTGAGACACTGACACACACACGCACGTAGCCTTGAGACACTGACACACATGCACGTAGCCTTGAGACACGGACACACGCACGTAGCCTTGAGACACGGACACACGCACGTAGCCTTGAGACACTGACACACACACACGTAGCCTTGAGACACGGACAAATGTTGTGAACCACCACCCTCCCTCCCCCCCCCCGCCATGCCTGCAGGTCACTTTGGCTCCGCGTGGGTGAAGCACTACTGCTGCTACAGCAAGAACACGGGCTACTTCTCCATGCTCGCCTACGACCCGAAGCCGACCGGGAAGCTGGTAAAACACCGCTCCCCCACCCCCCCCCCCACCCCTTAGCCCACGGGTTACGCGAACGGTGAGTCTGCGCGAGCGTGGAGTGCGCGCGGAGGGGTCGGGTAAGCGGTTCGGAGGCTGGGTTATAGGACGTGGTAGGTACGCACTGTATGTGTGTCTGTGTGTGTGTGTCTGCGTGGTGGGGAGCGGTAGTGTAGCGGTTAGCGCGCTGCGCTATGAACCCAGCGACACGGGTTCGATTCCCGCTCACGGCCAACACCAGTGACGATTATCTGAACCGGTCCCGGGCCTCCCCTAGGTCGACTCAGCCTCAAATGAGTACCTGGTGCGGTGTGTAAACATTGCCACTGGGGAGACAAAGGCGGTCGGGCGTGGCGCTGGCCACCCACCCCCTCGTGTACCGTTGCGGCCTTCATAGGTGCTCGCTAACAGCACTTTCCCCTACAGTCTGTTAAGGCTATACGGGGGATCTTTGTGTCTGCGCGCGTGTAGTGTAGTGTAGCGGTTAGCGCTACGCTGCGCTACGAACCCGGCAAGTTCGATTCCCGCTCGCGGCCAACGCCACCGGTGACGATTATCTGAACCGCTCCTGGGCCTCCCCTAGGTCGGCTCAGCCTTCGTGTGTCGGTGCTGTTCGCTATCAGTGCTTGCCCCGACAAGTTCGCTAAATTTCGATTTAAAGCTTCTTTCGTGACTGCAGGGATTCATCTTCTTGGTTCTTTCGGTAAAGTCACCACTTAGAAGGGAAATAATAAAATAATAAAATTATTCTCACGACGTTTCGGCCACAACGCAAGCAGCCGTCCTCAGGTGAAACCAGGTCTGTCGAGGCGACAGCGTCTGAATGAAACAGCACACGAGCTTGGAGCATGTATATAAGCTAGGTTGAAAGGGGGAGCCTTAAAAAAAGAATATGCATATCAAGAGGAATTTAGCATATTTATGGGAAATGCAGGTATGTGATTAGTACTGCATATGCCCGTGCATTATGCAGGGTTAGCAGCATCAAAGGGAGGGGGATAAGGGAAATGCAGGTATGTGATATGGGAAATGCAGGTATGTGATTAGTACTGCATATGCCCGTGCATTGTGCAGGATTACCGCTAAGGCTACATGAGTTGGCGGTGGTGGTGGATTGGGGGTCTCTGTGTGTGTCTCCGCGTGTCAGAACGGACTGGTGTTGAGTCCACAAGGAGAGCGGGACTCGTTCCAGCTCAAATCGTGCGTGCGGCGAAAAACCGACTCCATCGAGAAACGCTTCTGCTTCGACATCGAGGCCATCGACAGGTCGGAGGCTTGCGGCACCTGACACACGCATGTGACATGTGATGACACCTGACACACGCGTGGCACACGGGACACGCGACATGTGACACGTGATGACAGCTGGCACACGTGACATTGGGCACGCGACGTGGGAAATGTGACGTAAGACGAGGGCGATGCTGCTGCTGATGATGATGCTACTTAAGACGATGGCGATGCTGCTGCTGCTGATGATGCTACTTAAGACGAGGGCGATGCTGCTGCTGCTGCTGATGATGCTACTTAAGATGATGGCGATGCTGCTGCTGCTGCTGCTGATGATGCTACTTAAGATGATGGCGATGCTGCTGCTGCTGCTGATGATGATGCTACTTAAGATGATGGCAATGCTGCTGCTGCTGCTGATGATGAATCTACTTAAGACGATGGCGATGCTGCTGCTGCTGCTGATGATGCTACTTAAGACAATGGTGATGCTGCTGCTGATGATGATGCTACTTAAGATGATGGCGATGCTGCTGCTGCTGCTGATGATGAATCTACTTAAGACGATGGCGATGCTGCTGCTGCTGCTGATGATGATGATGCTACTTAAGACGATGGCGATGCTGCTGCTGATGATGCTACTTAAGATGATGGCGATGCTGCTGCTGCTGCTGCTACTTAAGACGATGGTGATGCTGCTGCTGATGATGCTACTTAAGATGATGGCGATGCTGCTGCTGCTGATGATGATGATGAATCTACTTAAGACGATGGCGATGCTGCTGCTGTTGCTGATGATGATGATGCTACTTAAGACGATGGCGATGCTGCTGCTGCTGCTGATGATGATGCTACTTAAGACGATGGCGATGCTGCTGCTGCTGCTGCTGATGATGATGATGAATCTACTTAAGACGATGGCGATGCTGCTGCTGCTGCTGCTGATGATGCTACTTAAGACGATGGCAATGCTGCTGCTGCTGCTGATGATGATGCTACTTAAGACGATGGCGATGCTGCTGCTGCTGATGATGCTACTTAAGACGATGGCAATGCTGCTGCTGATGATGATGCTACTTAAGACGATGGCGATGCTGCTGCTGCTGATGATGATGATGATGAATCTACTTAAGACGATGGCGATGCTGCTGCTGCTGCTGCTGCTGCTGATGATGATGCTACTTAAGACGATGGCGATGCTGCTGCTGCTGCTGCTGCTGCTGATGATGATGCTACTTAAGACGATGGCGATGCTGCTGCTGCTGATGATGATGCTACTTAAGACGAGGGCGATGCTGCTGCTGATGATGATGCTACTTAAGACGATGGCGATGCTGCTGCTGCTGATGATGCTACTTAAGACGAGGGCGATGCTGCTGCTGCTGCTGATGATGCTACTTAAGATGATGGCGATGCTGCTGCTGCTGATGATGATGATGATGCTACTTAAGACGATGGCGATGATGCTGCTGATGCTACTTAAGACGATGGTGATGCTGCTGCTGATGATGATGCTACTTAAGACGATGTCGATGCTGCTGCTGCTGCTGATGATGATGATGACGATGACGACGATGACGACGATGACCGTGATGTCGATGCCTTCCAGACCAACCGTCATGACGCTGCAGGCTCCCTCGGAGGATGAGCGGAAGCTGTGGATGGAAGCGATGGATGGCAAAGAACCCGTGAGTCGCGCCCCACGGAGAGACACGGAGCCGTTTGGCGGAAATTACACGTTCCTCTGACGGGGGACAGGACATCCAGATCTACGCCTGCTGTATATTTGGAGTTTGCGTGTCTCTCTCTCCGCGTGGATTTTTCTCCGGGCGTACCACGGTTTTCCCCCCCTCCACATTTAGAATCAACGTCCACGCGTTTTAGAGTTATTTGGCTGTTTATTGGCCCAATAAGACCTTGCCACGGTGGCGAGATGTTGACTACCTCACCTGGTACGCAGGAGGTCGTGGGTTCGATCCCGACCCTGACGCCTGCTGTATATTTGGAGTTTGCGTGTCTCTCTCTCTCTCCATGGTGAGATGTTAACTACCTCGCCTGGTCTACAGGAGGTCGTGGGTTCGAAGCCCGACCCTGGCGACGCCTTGTGGTATATTTGGAGTTTTCGTGTCTCTCTCTCTCTCTCTCTCATCATTATCATCACGGTGGCTAGGAGATGTTAACTACCTCGCCTGGTCTAAAGGAAGTCGTGGGTTCGATCCGGGCCCCTGCTGTATATTTGGAGTTTGCGTGTTTCTCTCTCTCCCCGTGGTCGCGTAGAATGTTTGACCACGAATCACATTGGCTTTGTGTGTTTCTACGTGGGTCTCTGGGTCTCTGTTAGTCTACGAGTCTCTGTGTGAGCCTCAGGGTCTCTGAGTCTCTGCGGGTCTCTGTGTGAGTCTATGGTCCTCTGTGTGATTCTATGGGTCTCTGTGTGAGTCTATGGGTCTCTCTGTGAGTCTATGGGTTTCTGTGCGAGTCTATGGGTCTCTGTGTGAGTCTATGGGTCTCTGTGCGAGTCTATGGGTCTCTGTGTGAGCCTGTGGGTCTCTCTGCGAGTCTATGGGTCTCTGTGTGAGTCTACGGGTCTCTGTGTGAGTCTATGGTCCTCTGCGTGATTCTATGGGTCTCTCTGTGAGTCAATGGGTCTCTGTGTCAGTCTATTAGTGCATCTCTATGTGAGCCGATGGTTGTCGATGTGAGTCTATGGGTCTCTGTGCCTGTCTATGGGTCTCTGTGTGAGTCTATGGGTCTCTGTGTGAGTCTATGGGTCTCTGTGTAAGTCTATGGGTCTCGATGTGAGTCTATGGTCCTCTGTGTGAGTCTATGGGTCTCTGTGTAAGTCTATGGGTCTCTGTGTGAGTCTATGGTCCTCTGTGTGAGTCTATGGGTCTCTGTGTGAGTCTATGGTCCTCTGTGTGATTCTATGGGTCTCTGTGCGAGTCTCTGGGTCTATGAATTTCATACACCCCCACAAAGAGAGGGTGTCTTTGTGTTGGAGGGGATAACTCATTAGCCCAAGAGGAAATTGTTTTATTTTTATGAAGTCAATTAATAATATTTTTTCGTGTGTTTTGCAGGTTTACACAATGCCAAGACTAAACAGCAAGCGGGAGGAGAGTAAGTTTCGAAAATATTTTATGTTTAAGGAACAGCTGTGTGTGTCTGTGTGTGTCTGTGTGTGTCTGTGTGTGTCTGTGTGTGTCTGTGTGTGTCTGTGTGTGTCTGTGTGTGTGTGTCTGTGTGTCTGTGTGTGTTGGTTTGTATGTCTGTGTGTGTGTGTCTGTATGTCTGTGCGTGTGTGTCTGTGTGTGTGTGTCTGTGTGTGTGTCTGTGTGTGTGTCTCTGCGTGTGTGTCTGTGTGTCTGTGTGTGTTGGTTTGTATGTCTGTGCGTGTGTGTCTGTATGTCTGTGCGTGTGTGTCTGTATGTCTGTGCGTGTGTGTCTGTGTGTGTCTGTGTGTGTGTGTCTGTGTGTGTGTCTGTGTGCGATAGTGTAGTGGTTAGCGCTACGCTGCGCTATGAACCTGGCGACACAGGTTCGATTCCCGCTCACGGCCAACACCAGTGACGATTATCTGAACCGGTCCCGGGCCTCCCCTAGGTCGACTCAGCCTCAAATGAGTACCTGGTGCGGTGTGTAAACATCGCCACTAGGGAGACAAAGGCGGTCGGGCGTGGTGCTGGCCACCCACCCTCTCGTGTGCCGTTCCGGCCTTCATAGGTGCTCGCTAACAGCATTTGCCCCAACAGTCTGTTCCAGGCTATCAGAATCAGAATCAGAAACGGTTTTAATCGCCATGTAAGTTTGCACAGACAAGGAATTCACTATGGCGGGACGGTGCATACATTGAACAAGTAGGAATCTTAACTTATATCCCCTATACGGGGATCTTTGTGTCTGTGTGTGTGTCTGTGTGTGTTGGTCTATGTGTCTGTGTGTGTCGGTCTGTGTGTATGTGTGTGTGTCTGTGTGTGTTGGTCTGTGTGTGTCTGTCTGTGTGTGTGTCTGTGTTGGTCTGTGTGTCTGTGTGTGTCTGTGTGTCTGCGTGTGTTGGTCTGTGTATGTTGGTCTGTGTATGTATGTGTGTGTGTCTGTGTGTGCGCGCTTGTATCTCCAGCACCAGTAGTGAACTCACCGCACAGCTCACCACTACTGAACTCACCGCACACCTCACCAGCAACAGTGCTCATCACCACCGATCTGGGTATTCAAAGCGCAGCGAAGTTGATTGCCTCAGCCCGGGTCACCTGTGAGTGGCAGCGCACAACAGAAGAAATCCCCGTCGTAGCGTAGCGGTGACTTCCACTTTCATTTGGCAAAAAAAAATTGCAGCCCTTTGAGAATTTTGTCAACGTTTTGGTTCAACTGCTCGTGCGACGCGGCAACGTTGGGAGATGCACTGCCCTCTACTGCGTGTGGACCAGAGAGTCATTTGACGAAGAAGGGGGTCTCAGATGTAGCTCTGTGTGATCCTCTTCCACGGACCACTCATATTGAGTTCATTTATTACACTGGTCAACAACAAAAAACAACTTTTTCTGGCCTGGACTTTTGCAGCTGTTCTAGACTAATTTCAGGGTGCCGATTCCAAACCTGCTCTCAGATTTTCTCTATCACATCTCATTTTTATGCTATCGGCATACCCCATTTTTAACAGAGTTAATTTCGGTGTACGACCAAACTTTGCAGCCATAGCTGGCTGCATGAGTCACTCCATAACAGCAGGAGTATCAGTAGCAGTATCAACATTTGTCAATGCACCTTTAAAGATCAGCACACCATAATCGAAACTCAAGATCATACTTTACAGCGGACATCCGGAGCGATGCATTTGATTTCACGCCACTGAATAGCAGTATCAGCTAGGGGTGTTCAACTCCTCTAGAGCAGTTTAAAGCTTTCGTGACTGCAGGGATTCATCTTCTTGGTTCTTTCGGTAAAGTCATCACGTAGAAGGGAAATAATAAAATAATAAAAATACAACATAATAAAATACAATTCTCACGACGTTTCGGCCACAACGCAAGCAGCCGTCCTCATGTGGAGAACAGGTCTGTCGAGAAGACAGTCTGAATGACACACCCCAGGCTTGGAGCGTCTATTTAAGCTGAGATGGAGGGGGGCAGAGCGCCTTGACAATATATGGAAATTCCTTTGTCAAGGCGCTCTTCCCCCTCCAACCCAGCTGAAATATACGCTGCCAAGCTTGGTGGTGTGCAAAATGTCAGCTCGATTGGATCACGGGAAGTGGGTTAAAAAACGGCCTAAAGATTTGCACGGTCCTAAGCAAGCAAGCAAGTGAACTTAATATAAAGGATTTAAAAAGATAATTCACCGACCCCTCCTGTGTGTTTCAATATTCTCCCTTCCAGCGCAACTCAATGATTTGGGCTTCAACTTTGTAAGAAATTGCATCTCTGCGGTTGAAACGAGAGGTGAGTGTCAATTCAAATATCTTTGTGGAAGTCTATGGGTCTCTGAAACTGTGTGAGTCTATGGGTCTCTGTGTGAGTCTATGGGTCTCTGTGTGAGTCGATGGGTCTCTGCGTGAGTCTATGGGTCTCTGTGTGAGTCTGTGTGTCTCTGTGTGGGTCTATGGGTCTCTGTGTGAGTCTATGGGTCTCTGTGTGAGTCTATGTGTCTCTGTGTGAGTCTGTGTCTCTGTGTGAGTCTATGGGTCTCTGTGTGAGTCTGTGGGTCTCTGTGTGAGTCTATGGGTCTCTGTGTGAGTCTATGGGTCTCTCTGTGTGAGTATATGGATCTCTGTGTGGGGCTATGGGTCTCTGTGTTTGTCTATGGGTCTCTGTGTGAGTCTATGGGTCTGTGAGAGTCTATGGGTCTCTGTGTGGGTCTATGGGTCTCTGTGTGAGTCTATGAGTCTCTGTGTGAGTCTATGGGTCTCTGTGTGAGTCTATGAGTCTCTGTGTGAGTCTGTGTGTCTCTGTGTGAGTCTATGTGTCTCTGTGTGAGTCTATGGGTCTCTGTGTGAGTCTATGAGTCTCTGTGTGAGTCGATGGGTCTCTGTGTGAGTCTATGAGTCTCTGTGTGAGTCTGAGTGTCTCTGTGTGAGTCTATGGGTCTCTGTGTGAGTCTATGAGTCTCTGTGTGAGTCTATGGGTCTCTGTGTGAGTCGATGGGTCTCTGCGTGAGTCTATGGGTGTCTGTGTGAGTCTGTGTGTCTCTGTGTGGGTCTATGGGTCTCTGTGCGAGTCTATGGGTCTCTGTGCGAGTCGATGGGTCTCTGCGTGAGTCTACGGGTCTCTGTGTGAGTCGCCATCTCATTGGCTGTTGCGTGTTCTCACTGCTAAGCGCTTTGTGGATTTTTGTGGCGATGTTAACACATTGTCCTGCGGAGGGAGCTGGTAGGAACGTTGGGTTGCTCGGTCAATGGCCTGCAGGGTCAACGGCGGCGTGGTGTATTCCGCAAATATGTCCGACTGTGAGGGCGGGCACAAGCCGGCGTGAGTAGGTTAAACGTTGAGTTGTATAAGGGCACCACGGGGTGACCAGCCCCTCCCCACCCAGCCCTACCCTCCCCACCCAGCCCCTCCCCACCCTCCCTACCCAGCCCCTCCCTCCCCACCCAGCCCCTCCCTGCACGACGGACACAATAATCCCCTGTGGGCTGGTGTAACCAGGAGGTTCCTACCGGTATAATAGTTTAGTTGAGTATTTATATTCTTTCTAGATTTGAAGCTTTCGTGACTGCAAGGATTCATATTCTTAGGTTTTTTTCGGCGAAGTCACGTAGGTAAAACATTAAAATTAATAAAAGTAAAATAAAAGACGGAAGCTTGTGTTGCCTCCGAAACGTCGTGATTTTTATTTTATTTTAATATTATTAATTTAAATTTTTTACCTACGTGACTTTACCGAAAAAACCTACGAATATTTATATTCTCTCGAACGACGCGAGCATTTACTTTCACGTGCGTCTGACACGCGTTGTTGACGGTGTTTGTTTGCCTTGGATGTGAACTCAGGAGTGACCACTCAAGGGCTGTACCGGATCGTAGGGGTCAGTTCCAAAGTGCAGAAGTTGCTGAGTCTGGCTGTGGGTAAGGACCGCGGTGATTGGTGACGCGCATTGTGTCGTGAGGCCCTCCACCACCTTGGTGTTCGTCAGCACGACATGTGTCGTCATCGCCAGCAGCGATGGCAAAATCAGGGTCGTTGTCATCGTCGTCAACACCGCCACGACTACCACCGCTTTTGTCATCATCATCATCAACTTCATCATCATCATCAACACCATCATCGTCACCATCATGGTCATCATCAACTTCATCACCGTCATCAACACCACCATGCCTAGCACCTCTTCTGTCATCATCACCGTCATCGTCATCATCACCATCATCGTCATCATCACCGTCATCGTCATCGTCACCGTCATCGTCATCATCACTATCATCGTCATCGTTACCATCATCGTCATCAACACCACCATGCCTAGCACCTCTTCTGTCATCGTCATCATCACCATCATCGTCATCTTCACCATCATCGTCATCGTCACCGTCATCGTCATCATCACTATCATCGTCATCGTTACCATCATCGTCATCAACACCACCATGCCTAGCACCTCTTCTGTCATCGTCATCGTCACCATCATCGTCATCATCACCATTTCGATTTAAAGCTTTCGTGACTGCAGGGATTCATCTTTATGGTTCTTTTGGTAAAGTCACGTAGAAGGGAAGTAATAAAATAATAAAAATAAAACATAATAAAATAATTCTCACGACGTTTCGGCCACAACGCAAGCAGCCGTCCTCAGGTGAAGAACAGGTCAAGGCGCTCTTCCCCCTCTAACCCAGCAGCTTAAATATACGCTGCCAAGCCTGGTGGTGTTCATTCAGACTCTGTCTCCCCGACAGACCTGTTCTTCACCTGAGGACGGCTGCTTGCGTTGTGGCCGAAACGTCGTGAGAATTATTTTATTATGTTTTATTTTTATTATTTTATTACTTCCCTTCTACGTGACTACCGAAAGAACCAAGAAGATCACCACCATCATCGTCACCATCATGGTCATCGTCACCATCACCATCATCGTCACCATCATCGTCACCATCACCATTGTCATCAACTTCATCATCATCTTCATCGTCGTACCGTTTGTCTTTGTCCACCAGACCCCAAAACGGCGGCGGAAGTTGACCTGGAGAGCCCCCAGGACTGGGACATCAAGACGATCACCAGCGCACTCAAGAGCTACCTGAGGTGCGAGCACTTTCCCCCGTTGCCTTGGCGGTCACGGGGGGGGGGGGGGGCAGGGGGGGGGGGGGGCCCAGGACGGCGCCGCTGTTGGATGTTGCGACGCTCGGAGGTGTTCTGTGTGTGTGTGTCTGTGCGAGCGTGGTGTGTGTGTGTCTGTGTTGCCAAGTCTGTGTGTGCGTGTGTCTGTGTGTTTCTGTGTGCGTGTGTGTCTGTGTTGACGAGTCTGTGTGTGGTGTGTGTGTGGTGTGTGTGTGTCTGTGTTGACGAGTCTGTGTTGTGGTGTGTGTGTGGTGTGTGTGTGTCTGTGTTGACGAGTCTGTGTGTGGTGTGTGTGTGTGGTGTGTGTGTGTCTGTGTTGACGAGTCTGTGCGAGCGTGGTGTGTGTGTGTTGTCGAGTCTGCGTGTGTCTGTGTTGTCGAGTCTGCGTGTGTGTGTGTGTTTACGAGTCTGTGTGTGAGTGTGTGTGTCTGTGTTGACGAGTCTGCGTGTGTGTGTGTCTGTGTTGACGAGTCTGTGTGTGTGTGTCTGTGTGTGTCTGTGTTGACGAGTCTGTGTGTGTGTGTGTGTCTGTTGACGAGTCTGTGTGTCTGTGTGTGTCTGTGCACGTGTATGTCTGTGTTGCTGAGTCTGCGTGTGTCTGTGTTGACGAGTCTGCGTGCGTGTGTGTGTCTGTGCGTGCGTCTGTGTGGTGCTGACCACCCACCCCCTCGTGTACTGTTCCGGCCTTCATAGGTGCTCGCTCTAACAGCACTTGCCCCAACAGCCTCTTAAAGGCTACACGGGTGATCTTTTGTCTTTGTCTCGTTGTGACCCCGTAGGACTCTCCCCGAACCCCTGATGACTCATCAGCTGCACGCCAGCTTCATTCTTGCCGCAAGTACGAGCCCACCAGAGACACGACGTGCCTGGGACGGTGTCTGTGAGGATGTCTTGTGACGTGTCTGGTTGTGCGTCGGCTGGGCCACGTAGCCCGCACGCCTAGCCACCGCATGCCCCAGCCACCGTATGCCCAGCCCACCGCATGCCCAGCCACCGCATGCCCAGACACCGCATGCCCAGCCACCGCATGCCCAGACACCGCATGCCCAGCCACCGCATGCCCAGACACCGCATGCCCAGCCACCGCATGCCCAGACACCGCATGCCCAGCCACCGCATGCCCAGCCACCGCATGCCCAGACACCGCATGCCCAGCCACCGCATGCCCAGACACCGCATGCCCAGCCACCGCATGCCCAGCCACCGCATGCCCAGACACCGCATGCCCAGCCACCGCATGCCCAGACACCGCATGCCCAGCCACCGCATGCCTAAACATGGACCCCCCTAATGGAGTATCTTTGCCGGTTGGAAACATTTAGGCTGGCCTGCCTACGATCCATCCTGGGTTTAACCTGCAGGCTGGATTGTGTGAGGAGCTCACAAGTCCTTGAAAGATCTGGGCAAGTCCCATCGGTGAGCTCCTCCGGCAGGCAAGGCTGCGTTGGCTGGGTCATGTAGCCCGCATGCCCAGCCACCGCATGCCTAAACAGCTTCTGTTCGGCCGGATTGAGGGGGCTAAACGGGCGCGGCACGGGCTAGAGAAGAGATGGAGTGATGTGGTACAGGAGGACGTGGAGCTGAGTGGACTTGCCGATGACTGGTACCAGCGGTGTCAAGATCGGCCTCTGTGGAGGAGGCTCGTGAAGGATGCTACTGGGCAGTTGGAGGCAGTCGCCCTCCAACAACAACGGAGGGTGGAGGAGCGACGCTCACAACAACGAGCGGAGCGCCGGGTGGCTAAAGCACAGCAAGTTGGCACAGTAGGGGGCACAGGTAGTGCATCAGCCAGTCATCTCGGTCATCTCGGTCAGTCGACCCGTGGCACCTGCTGGGTCTGCCCCGTGACCTGCCAGCGGGCGTTCGACACGTCACGTGGCCTTAACGTGTGCACCTAGCCTGGCACAAGCGTCGTGGTGACGTCACCGCCACTGAGTAGCGAATGGCGGTTGTTGTTGTTGTGTGTGCGTGTGTCTTGTAAAGATGTGACCACGTGTCTGTGCGATGACGTGTCTCCACGGCAACGTGTCTCCGTGACGACGTGTTAGTGATGATGACGATGTGACGATGGCGTGTCTCCGTGACGACGTGTCTCCATGACGACGTGTTTGTGACGATGTGACGATGACGTGTCTCCATGACGACGTGTTTGTGACGATGTGACGATGACGTGTCTCCATGACGACGTGTCTCTGTGACGACGCGTCTCCGTGACGACGTGTTTCCGTGACGACGATGACGACGTGTCTCTGTGACGACGCGTCTCCGTGACGACGTGTTTCCGTGACGACGATGACGACGTGTCTCCGTGACGACGTGTCTCCATGACGACGATGACGTGTCTCCGTGACGACGCGTCTCCATGACATGTCCCCGTGACGACGATGACGACGTGTCTCCGTGTCTCCGTGACGACGGCAGAGCTGGAGAACCCGGAGAGCCGTGTGAAGGCGGTCCACGCTCTCGTCTACCAGCTGCCCGACGCCAACCGCGACATGCTGCAGCTCATCGTCCACCACCTCATCGTGTAAGTCCACCACCACCACAAACTCAGCGTCCACCACCACAAACTCATCGTCCACCACCTCATCGTGTAAGTCCACCACCACCACAAACTCAGCGTCCACCACCACCACAAACTCATCGTCCACCACCTCATCGTGTAAGTCCACCACCACCACAAACTCATCGTCCACCACCTCATCGTGTAAGTCCACCACCACCACAAACTCAGCGTCTACCACCACCACAAACTCATCGTCCACCACCTCATCGTGTAAGTCCACCACAAACTCATCGTCCACCACCTCATCGTGTAGTCCACCACCACCACAAACTCATCGTCCACCACCTCATCGTGTAAGTCCACCACCACCACAAAACTCATCGTCCACCTCCTCATCGTGTAAGTCCACCACCACCACAAACTCATCGTCCACCACCTCATCGTGTAAGTCCACCACCACCACAAACTCATCGTACTCCTCCTCATCGTGTAAGGTCCACCACCACCACAAACCATCGTCCACCTCCTCATCGTGTAAGTCCACCACCACCACAACTCATCGTCCTCCTCCTCATCGTGTAAGTCCACCACCACCACAAACTCATCGTCCACCACCTCATCGTGTAAGTCCACCACCACCACAAACTCATCGTCCTCCTCCTCATCGTGTAAGTCCACCACCACCACAAACTCATCGTCCACCACCACCACAAACTCATCGTCCACCTCCTCATCGTGTAAGTCCACCACCACCACAACTCATCGTCCACCTCCTCATCGTGTAAGTCCACCACCACCACAAACTCATCGTCCACCACCTCATCGTGTAAGTCCACCACCACCACAAACTCATCGTCCACCGCCTCATCGTGTAAGTCCACCACCACCACAAACTCATCGTCCCTCCTCCTCATCGTGTAGTCCACCACCACCACACTCATCGTCCACCACCACCACAAACTCATCGTCCACCACCACCACACACCATCGTCCACCACCACCACAAACTAGCATTCGTCCACCACCCACAACCACTCATCGTCCACCACCACCACAAACTCATCGTCCACCACCACAAACCTCATCGTCCACCACCTCATCGTGTAAGTCCCCCACCACCACACACTCATCGTCCCCACCTCATCGTGTAAGTCCACCACCACCACAAACTCAGCGCTTCCACCACCTCATCGTGTAAGTCCACCACCACCACAAACTCAGCGTCCACCACCTCATCGTGTAAGTCCACCACCACCACAAACTCATCGTCCACACCACCCACAACTCATCGGCCACCTCCTCATCGTGTAAGTCCACCACCACCACAAACTCATCGTCCACCACCACCACAAACTCATCGTCCACCACCACATCGTGTAAGTCCACCACCACCACAAACTCATCGTCCACCACCACAAACTCATCGTCCACCACCACCACACACTCATCGTCCACCACCACACACTCATCGTCCACCACCACACACTCATCGTCCACCACCACCACAAACTCATCGTCCACCACCACCACACACTCATCGTCCACCACCACCACACACATCATCGTCCACCACCACATGGTGTAAGTCCCACCACCACCACAAACTCATCGTCCACCACCTCATCGTGTAAGTCCACCACCACCACAAACTCATCGTCCACCTCCTCATCGTGTAAGTCCACCACCACCACAAACTCATGCGTCCACCTACTCATCGTGTAAGTCCACCACCCCACAAACTCATCGTCCAACCACCTCATCGTGTAAGTCCACCACCACCACAAACTCATCGTCCACCTCCTCATCGTGTAAGTCCACCACCACCACAAACTCATCGTCCACCTCCTCATCGTGTAAGTCCACCACCACCACAAACTCATCGTCCACCACCTCATCGTGTAAGTCCACCACCACCACAAAACTCATCGTCCACCACCTCATCGTGTAAGTCCACCACCACAAACTCATCGTCCACCACCACACAACTCATCCTCCACACGCGGCGGCGACGATGATGATAATGATGACGATGATGATGACGATGATGACGATGATGATAATGATGATGATGACGATAATGACGATGATGATGACGATGATGTGTGTCGAGTGGCGAGTCACAACAAGCTGAACCTCATGATCATAGTGATGATGATGATGCTGGTGGTGCTGATGATGGTGGTGGTGATGATGGTGATGGTGCTGATGGTGATGATGCTGATGATGGTGCTGATGATGGTGACGATGATGATGGTGACGATGATGATGGTGCTGATGATGCTGCTGATGGTGCTGATGATGGTGCTGATGATGGTGCTGATGATGATGGTGCTGATGATGATGCTGCTGATGGTGCTGATGATGATGGTGCTGATGATGATGGTGCTGATGATGATGTGTGCTGATGGTGATGACGATGATGATGGTGCTGATGGTGCTTATGATGGTGCTGATGATGATGGTGGTGATGGTGTGTAGCGTGGCGAGTCACAACAAGCTGAACCTCATGATCATAGTGATGATGATGATGATGGTGGTGCTGATGATGATGGTGATGCTGATGGTGGTGGTGGTGGTGCTGATGATGGTGTGTAGCGTGGCGAGTCACAACAAGCAGAACCTCATGACGGTGGCCAACCTGGGCGTGATCTTCGGCCCGACGCTCATGCGGCCGCAGGAGGAGTCGGTGGCAGCCATCATGGAGATCAAGTTCCACAACATCGTCATCGAGATCCTCATCGACAACGCGGACAAGGTGCAGCGCGCTCGCTCATAATCCACGGGAGAGAGAGAGAGACACACAAACTCCAAATATACAGCAGCAGGCATCGTCAGGGTCGGGATCGAACCCACGACCTCCTGTAGACCAGGCGAGGTAGTCAACATCTCACCACGGAGAGAGAGACACGCACAAACTCCAAATATACAGCAGCAGGCATCGTCGGGGTCAGGATTGAACACACGACCTCCTGTAGACCAGGCGAGGTAGTCAACATCTCACCATGGAGAGAGAGAGAGACACGCAAACTCCAAATATACAGCAGCAGGCATCGTCAGGGTCGGGATTGAACCCACGACCTCCTGTAGACCAGGCGAGGTAGTTAACATCTCACCACAGAGAGAGAGACACGCAAACTCCAAATATACAGCAGCAGGCGTCAGGGTCAGGAATGAACCCAGGACCTCCTGTGTACCAGGTGAGGTAGTTAACATCTCACCACTGACCCCCCCCCCCCCCCCTCCTCCAGGTGTTCAAGACACCCCCTGACCCGGACGCCCCCCTGCTGATTCCCCAGCCCAACGTCCCTCACCGGCATGGCAAGACGCCCGGTGGTGGTGGCGGTGGTGGCGGTGGTGGCGGTGGTGGTGCCGTGTGGTAGCAAGACCCCTCGGCCCATGGGCGGGGTCTACATGACCTCCAGCCGGGACGGAGGTGATGACCCGTCAACATCGTCGTCGTTGTCGTCATCAACAACATCGTCGTCAACAACAACATCATCAACATCTTTCTTCATATCGTCGTCATCATCATCACTGTCAACATCTTCATCATCACTGTCAACATCTTCGTCATCGTCGTCATCAACATCATCGTCATCAACATCTTTCTTCATATCATCATCACTGTCAACATCTTCGTCATCATCTTTGTCATCATCGTCATCAACATCATCATTGTCATCAACATCTTTCATCATATCGTCATCATCATCACTGTCAACATCTTCATCATCATCACTGTCAACATCTTCGTCATCGTCGTCATCAACAACATCATCGTCATCAACATTTCTTCATATCGTCGTCATCATCACTGTCAACATCTTCGTCATCATCTTTGTCATCGTCGTCGTCAACATCATCATCGTCATCAACATCTTTCTTCATATCGTCGTCATCATCATCACTGTCAACATCTTCGTCAGCATCGTCATCATCTTTGTCATCATCTTTGTCATCATCTTCTTGGTTCTTTCGGTAAAGTCACCACGTAGAAGGGAAATAATAAAATAATAAACAAAACATTTAACAATTCCCACGACGTTTCGGCCACAACGCAAGCAGCCGTCCTCAGGTGAAGAACAGGTCTGTCGGGAAGACAGCGTCTGAATGAAACATAAATTAAACATTCAGACCTGTTTCTTCACCTGAGGACGGCTGCTTGCGTTGTGGCTGAAACGTCGTGAGAATTGTATTTTATTACGTTATATTTTTATTATTTTATTACTTCCCTTCTACGTGACTTTACCGGAAGAACCAAGAAGATGAATCCCTGCAGTCACGAAAGAAGCTTTAAATACAAATTTGTCATCATCGTCATCAACATCATCGCCTTCATGATCAACATCTTCGTTGTCTTTGTCATGATTGTAATCAACATCATCGCCAACTTTATTGTCATCATCATCAACATCATCTTTGTCGTCATCGTCTTCAACATCATCAGCAAATTCGTCATCATGAGCCAGCGCAAAGTTGAGTTAAGTCTACATCTATATTCACAAACTCTAATATTGTGTTGAATGGAGATCATTGTCATCAACATCATCATGGTCATCATCATCACCCTCATCACTACAATCATCATCACCCTCATCACTACAATCATCATCACCATCATCACTACAATCATCATCACCATCATCACTACAATCATCATCACCATCATCACTACAATCATCATCACCATCATCACTACAATCATCATCACCATCATCACTACAATCATCATCACCATCATCACTACAATCATCATCACCATCATCACTATCGTCATCGTCGATCACAAACTCTCATTCCGTTCTCTTCGCAGTTGACGTGAAGCCTGAAAACAGCACGCCGCCACAACAACAACAACAACAACCGCCACCACCACCGCAGCAGCCGCCACCAACAACACCACCAACACCACCACCAGCACCACCACCAACAACAACAGCAGCAGCAGCAGTAGCCCAAGCTCCAGCTCCGAGTCCATCGCCTCGTCCCACTCCTCCGACGCCGCCACCGCCGCCGCCGGTCCGCCCTCACCGCCGCGACTCTACCCGGATTTGTCGTCGGAGCTGCCGAGGGCACCGCCGGCATCGTCACCGCCAGCGGCCATCGTCGCTGTCACCGTCGTCGCTGTCCGTGAAGGAGGCGACGCCGTGGGGGGTGGCGGCCGTCGTGGGCGAGGAAACGCCGGCGTTTAAGGGCGGCGCTGCTGCCGCCGCTGCTGCCTCCAAACCCGACGCTTTGTGAGTTTGGACGGTTGTCGTCGTCACAGCGATTTGGAACGGCTTGTGCTGTTGCTGTTGTTGTTATTGTTGTTGTACTGTTCTCGTGGATGATAGCAGCAGCATCGATGTTGCGGTTCAGGATGTTTCGGTGCCTTTGTGGAGGTTTGCTGTTGTTGTTGTTGATGCTGTTGCTGTTGCTGCTGTTGTTGTTGCTGCGTTGTTGCTGTTGTTGTTGTTGCTGCTTGCTGTGTTGTTGTTGCTGCTGTTGTTTGCTGCTGTTGTGCTGCTGCTTGCTGTGTTGCTGCTGTTGTTGCTGCTGTTGTTGCTTTTGTTGTTGATGCTGTTGTTGTTGCTGTTGTTGCTGTGTTGCTGCTGTTGCTGCTGCTGTTGCTGCTGCTGTTGTTGATGCTGCTGTTGTTGCTGCTGTTGCTGCTGCTGCTGTTGATGCTGTTGCTGCTGCTGTTGATGCTGCTGCTGTTGTTGCTGCTGCTGTTGCTGCTGTTGTTGTTGCTGTTGTTGCTGCTGTTGTTGTTGTTGTTGTTGCTGCTGTTGTGTTGCTGCTGCTGTTGTTGCTGTTGTTGTTGCTGCTGCTGCTGTTGTTGTTGCTGCTGTTGTTGTTGCTGTTGCTGTTGTTGCTGCTGCTGCTGCTGTTGTTGTAGCTGCTGCTGTTGTTGCTGTTGCTGTTGTTGCTGCTGCTGCTGTGTTGTTGTTGCTGCTGTTGTTGTTGCTGTTGCTGTTGTTGCTGCTGTTGTTGCTGTTGTTGTAGCTGCTGTTGCTGCTGCTGTTGTTGTTGCTGCTGTTGTTGCTGTTGCTGTGTTGCTGCTGTTGTTGTTGCTGTTGCTTTGTTGCTGCTGCTGTTGCTGCTGTTGTTGTAGCTGCTGCTGTTGCTGCTGCTGCTGTTGTTGTTGCTGCTGTTGTTGTTGCTGTTGTTGTTGCTGTTGTTGTTGCTGTTGTTGCTGCTGCTGTTGTTGCTGCTGCTGTTGCTGTTGTTGCTGTTGCTGCTGTTGCTGTTGTTGCTGTTGCTGTTGTGCTGCTGCTGTTGCTGCTGTTGTTGTAGCTGTTGTTGCTGTTGGCGATGCTGAGAGGGCTTCGGCAGAGAGAGAAAGTTGGTCTCTTGTCCGCTGTTCACTCCGCTGGCGAACCAGCAGCAGCAGCAGCAGCAGCGACGATTGTCCGAAACCCGGTCCTGGGCCTCCCCTAGGTCGACTCAGCCTCACAACGAGTACCCGGTGCGGTGCAAACGTAACCACTGGGGAGAGACAAAGGCGGCCGTGCGTGGCGCTGCAGCGCTGACGGCCTGTTACAATCTTGATCGGAAGCTTTCGTGAAAGCACGAATCCACACTCTGTGGTTCTTTCGGTCAAGGCCACACGGCAGAGTTCGCAAACGGGTTTTGATTCCTTACCCCTCGTACCCGTACCCGGCCGCACCAGGGTCGCAAACGGGTACCCGTACCCGGCCGGGTACGGGTAGTCGGGTATCGGGTAGGGTACGGGTATCGGGTAGGGTACGGGTATCGGGTAGGGTACAGGTATCGGGGAGGGTACGGGTATCATGTAGGGCACGGGTGTCGGGTAGGGTACGGGTATGGTAGCCGG